CTCAGGAGAAGGAGGAAGCCCCCAATACTTAGTTCTAACTTGGGAGGAACTATAGCTGCAATGAAACCAATGAAAAGTTTCCATTAATGCTGCCCTTGTAGGGTTGAAGAAAAGATCTCTGTTCTTTTTGCCACATCACTAATGATGGATGCAGTTCTTCACATGTAAGCTTGGTGCACTCCCACTTGCATCAGTTGTACCTCTCTACCCCTTTCTCTCCTACTCAAAAAAATATAAAGTAGGCTAAGTCAGGAGCTTATCGTGAATCCATGGTAACTTATAAAATTAATAAATCACTGGAAAACATGGAGGCTTTATTTGTAACACATTATTTATGGCATAGCTCTCACCAGAGTGTGTAATCATTTGTGTGCCAAAGTGAGGTTAAGATCTTGGGCATGTATGTGCCTTTACCACCTCCTACTCCACCACCCCTCCTCAGGTCACTCCAATCCACCTCCTGGAAAACAAGGAGAAAACTGTGTTTCAGGCACAGGGCACATTTATTTGAATAAGGAAGAAGTTAGGTTCTTCCCTTTGGTGACAGAAGACATAGGGTGTAGTGGTTAAGGGCAAGGTTTTAGATCAAACAGCCTCAGCCCAGGCCTGTCTCTTTATCCATGCCTTACTAGCTAAGTGATCTTAGGCAGCTTATACAACCTAAGCCCAAAATGTGTCTCCACAAATAGGTTTAAGAATAGTATTTAACTGAGAGTATGAACTCATAATGTTACATAGAGTAAGAAATGCAGAGTGCCTGGCACACAGAAAGTAGACAATGACTGCTAGTTATCACTATTATCTAACTCCCTGTCTCCCCAGCTCTGTACAAGGTTCTTGAGGAGCTCTGTCTCATTCATCTTGCACCTTAGTGCCTGGCACAGGGTAGATTCTCAATGTAGATCTGAATGAGTAAATTCATCCGACCAGTCAACATTTACTGGGCACCTAAACGTGCCATGTACTGTTCTATGCATTAGGGATACAGTAGTGAATAAAACAGCAAAGTCTCAGCCTCCTGGTGCCTCCATTCTAGTAGGAGGGAAGCAGGTAAGCAAACAGATGGTTTGACAGAGGGTGGAGAAATAGAGCAGGGTAAGGGGGCTAGGGAGAGACAGGAGTGGGGGTGGGGTTTGCTCTTTTATACATCCCAGAAAGTGTCTCTGAGAAGGTGACATCTGAGCAGACTTAAAGGAAGTGAAGGACAAATATCTGCAGAATGAGTGTCCCAGGCAGTGGGACCAGCAGTTGCAAAGGCCCTGAGGCAGGCACATACATGACGTTTTTGAAGAACAAGAAGGCTGGTGTGGCTGGAGTGGGAGGAATGAAAAGACTTTTATCTCTTTTTCTAGCTGACTGAAAATGAGCACAGAGCACAATTCAGTAATTGAAAAGGATATATTAAAATATTCACAAAGTACAACTGAAAAAGAAAAGTTCAAAACATGATAACAAACTTGATGATTTTTCCCTCACCTGGGTACAGTTCCATTGAAAAACTACAGGTAGTTTGGGATTTTAATCTCAAAGTGATCTCTTTTATGTTCCCTCTTACAAAAATCACATGTAATTTGAAGAGGTCATTCTGCCAGTCACAACCCCACGATTATCATGTCGGTCAGGCACAGAAATGCTGAGGCACAGGAGAAGGACCCAAACTGAGACACTCCATCTAAGGGTGAACAAGGGTGAAACCTCCTTTCAACAAGCCTGTCCCACAAACCAGAAAGGGATGCTGGTAGTGGCCGCCCTTGACGTGATGTGTGGACACAGTGTGAGGTGTCTGGTTGGGCGGGGAGACCATGACGTCAGGCACCACAGGAAGGTGGCAAGAGGGTGGCGAGTGAAGTGAGGGCTGGACTGGTGTTCTGGCCGCAGTTTTACAAACAAATGGTCCTGATACTGAAAGGAGAAATCAGACCTCTTGCTATCGTGAAGCATTGTTGTTGTGTTGTTGTTATGTGCGGTCAAGTCGGACCCAACTCATAGCGACCCCTCCTTGGGTTTCCAAGGCAGTATCACTACGGAAGTAGATTGCCCCATCTTTAGGAATGTTCAATTTATTCACAGGACCTGTTGAGAAAGGAGGAAAGGAGACTGCCTCTTCGCTGTAAAAAAAAAAAAAAAAAAATTACTGTAAGGAAACGTTCAACACACATATATATAAACATACACACTTGGTCCCTTGACTGTTTACATCCTTTCTACCTTGAAAACAGTTTAGTGGCTGTACAAGTTTCATAGTGGCCAAAGGCTCACTGAGAGTATCATTATCTTTGCGTCAGTTTGAGGAATGATGCCAATTCCAATATCCTTCCTCTCCCCTCCAAGACCATAAAAGAGGTCCTCTAAAGGCTCCTGTAGTTTTCAAAATGGATACAAGACAAAGTGTATCACTTTATAGAAATGTCTCAGGGTAAGCAGTTGGTGGTTCATGGCAAGAGATTATGACAGAGCAGAGCCAGCAGAGTTTTCTCCATTTCACCCAGAACACAGAACAGACACTAACCAGCTTCCGAAGATGATAAATTAGCACGAATGCAAAACGTGTTCCCTGTTTATTTACTTATAAACAGAATGCAAATTGAACCATTACAGAAATAGTAATACATAGTTCCTCAGGTAATAAAGGTCTCTTATGTATAGGGCAAGGAACTCTGGTGGCATAGTGCCTAAGGCATTTGACTGCTAACCAGAAGGCTGGAGGTTCAAACCCACCAGGCACTCCATGGAGGGAAGACTGGGCAATTTATTTCTGTAAAGATTTACCTCAGAAACCTAAAGGGGGTTGCTATGCGTTGGAATCAACTTGATGGTAGTGAGTTTGGTTTGGTTTTGGTTTATGTATGGGGCAGGTTTTTTTTTTATTATTATTATTTTTATTGTGATTTGGGTGAAAATTTTCAGAGCAAATTCATGTTGCATACAGCACTTCATACACATCTTGTTTCATGATGTTGACTGCAATTTCCCACAATGTAACAGTTCTCTTCCCACTTCCTCCTCGTAGTTACCTCTTCCCTGTGTCCTTCCCTTCTATGCACTGCCTCACCCCCAGCTGTCTCCCTGTACAAACACTGCCCTTCTGTCCTTCCACGATTGATTTCTCCAAGGAGTGTATCTACCTGATATAAATGTTTACCCATTTGGGCCAGTTAGTTTTGAAGTTCAAATGCCCTTTATTTTATTACCTCACACAAACACTCATTTTTCACCTTAAAATCTAAAATCTGCTTTGTCCCCTCTCTGAATTCTCTTAGGACCCAGCCTTCCAACCCAGCCAGCCCCCCCAAAAAATGACGTGAGGTGGGATGGAAAAGGAAACAGCTCATAGTAGGCTTGAAATTAAATAGGAGAAAAACTAGCATTATCTCCCATCCCCACTTCCCAAACATGCTCTGTGGGCCATTTAGTCACTATTCTGTAACTTTGGGTTTTTAGACAGTTTTAGAGGGAGTAGGAACCATGTTTTTTTCAAAACAAAATAGCCTAGGAAATTGGGAGGAATGACGATATCAATGTTTAGTGATTTTTACCATGGTTTTCATTCCCAGGAAAATATAAAAACTCATAGGTTTGAAATGGGGTGGGGGAGAAAATGGGAGAAAATAAGTTATTGGGCAAGATACACAAATTGTCCACATTTCTCCTCATTGCTTGTTTATGAATTCCATGTAATAAGAGAAGAAAAATGAGAAAAGAGAAAAATTCCCAAAGTAGCAGTACAAGCCCTGCTTGATTTTAAAACTCTTGACCCTTTTTGATCTCCAGGGTCTTTGAGAAACCACGAAGCTATTACAGAACCATGACTGTGTGTGGCCTCTTGCTGGGATCACACCTGAAGCTTAGGAAAAGGATTCTTTAGTGAGAGCTCTGAGATACTGGAGACTAACAATCTAATGATCCCACTTCTGCTTTCTTAGAAAGAAATGAAACTTTCCTCCTTCAGCTATATGAGGACATTTATTTCAAGCAGGAAAGGACTTCAGCAAAGAGAATACCTGATGCCCTTTAACCTTCAAATGGTACAAAGTCTGGATTTTCTACTTCACATCTATGGTATTGGCCTAAAGGAATTGCTGGAGGGTGCAAACATTTAATGCACTTGGATGCTGATCAAAAGGTCAGAGGTTTAAGTCTGTACAGGCTGAAGATCTGCTTCCGAAAAATCAGCCATGGAAAACCCTATGGAGCACAGTCCTACTCTGACATGGAGTTGCCATGAGTCCGAGTTGACTTGATGGCAACATTTCGTTGATGGTGATGGTGGTGGTCTCAAAGAAAGTGACCTCAGGCATTTATCCTTTGCTAATCTTGCTAATAAGAATCCACAAATTGGTATGATATACCTAGAGGGTATAAAATTAAAGTGACTCTACATAACACATAAAGCTAAACACTGCCACATATTTTAGAAAAACGGCAACAAAAACTCAAACTGTCTTCAAGTGGTGTAGCTAATGGATGTTTTCTAAATGTTACAACCAAGTAGGTGGTACTGACTCTGGATTAAAGGCCACCCTGGATTATGCGTCCATCAGAGAATCTCCATTCTCCAGTGACCATAAATGCTAAGACTAGTTAAAAGTCTTAGATTGAAAGAAAGACCCTTAGATTAAAAGGGCATGCCTATCAGAATACTAAAAGTTCTGCTACTGGTTTCATTAAGACAAATCCTATCAAAATGATGGTGATAGGAATGTTTCTGAAATCTTCCAATCCTAAAGGACCCTGAGAGTAAGCACAAGAACAGTAAGAAGATTTCTATGTACATAGACTCATACCATCTTGTCATCATGCAGTACTGTTTTCATCACATCAGCAAGATTAAGATATTTATACATATCCTTTATACATTTTTTTTTTCTCTCTTTCACTGAATGTGCACATTCTTGCCTTTGCCTAGGTTTCTGAGGCCATCCATGGTTGTGGGGTACATGTTCTTTACAAAAGTCCACTTTGGATTTGTTTCTTGCTTGGGATATATTCTGGGTCTTCTTTTAATTCTTCTGGATGTCATCATATAGCACAGACTCTGACTTGTTAATCTTGTCACTGTGATGTCCGTCAAAGTGGTCTAACTGCATAAATATGATTAGACCCTGGAGAAAAGAAGTGGAATTAGAGGCTTGGAAAAAGTAGTCTTCCCTTCAGGTGCACATGGAGAAGCAATAATAAAAGTGATAATATTAGAATCCCAAAGCAAAGTGTTCTCTCTTTTGAAAGTTTTCAAAAAGGCTTCTTATGAAGCTCACACTCTAAAACAAGAAATGGACATATGTTGATAATTATTAAAACTGATACACGGGAGTTCATTACACTATTCTCTCTACTTTTGTATATGTGTGAAAACTTCTATAACAATGTATTTTTTAAAAGCCTTCTTAAGACTATCCCTTATGCTTATATCTGTCACAGAATTTCCCAATGCTAGCAATTGGAATTAGAGTCTAAAAGACTAAGATTGACCCTCTACCAACCTGAGAATCATTGAAATCATTGGCTTCAGAAAGATGCACATAAGAAGCCTGTTAGGCAGAAACATGGCTGGCCAGGCGGGTGAATGATTGAGCCGGAGGGAATTATAAGAACTGGTCAAGCAAGGAGGCGCCTGACCAGAGCCCATACCAAACCCCAGCACATAGCCCTTGCTTACAAAAGACCCCAGCACCTGACTCTCACCAAAGCCCCCAACCATTTCCTGCCCACTATGTTAATGAAGTGTTTCAACTCTGCTTCCTACCCCCATGCTAATGGGGTACTTTAACCTTATTGGTCCCTGTAACACATACCCTGCTCTCACTCTGGTCCTCTAAGAACCAGGAAGAAAATCACTATAAAAAACCCTTTCTTTCACCTGGGCAGCGCAACCTCTCTGGCCCCTCTCAGGGACCCGTGAACCTCGCCCGAGCCCCTCTCAGGGACCCATAAGCCTCTCCCGGGAGTGCAGAATAAAAACTTCTCTTTAACCCCACTTTTGTGCGTCCTCTTCTCCTTACTGCGACCTCACAAAGCCAACATATTTGGTGCCACTCAAAGATAACAATCAATTTGCACTGTTCACTTTATACAAATAGGTATCTAAAAATACTTCAAGTATTCCTCCACTACTTATCTAGCCTAATTCTTTTAAACTGATCTATCATAACTAAAAACAAACAAACAACAACAAAAAACCATTGCTTCTTTGATTGTGAAGGTCAGGAAAAAAAAAAAAAAAGAGGAAAAAAAAGCCACAATCTCTAGCTAACGATATAAAGAAAACCCTAGATAGATTAAGTAAAACAGATCCTTTTCTTAGCCTCAGCAGTAAGGAAGAGGTTAAAAGTCCCAGATAATGCCTCTGGGCACTTGGTGGAGCTAGATTTACTGACCCAAGGAGCTGGAACTAGAGCTGAGTGCCTTCAGGTGTGGGATGCTTATAACACTTGCCCAAGCAGGGCAGAGCTAGACCCAAAAGTCTAGGGCCAGAAAGAGACCTGCCTGCAGGCAGAGCTGAGAAGAGACTGTCCTGATCTAAGAACCATATCCTGAGCATTCCTGAATCAGAATTGTCACCTATTACTTCCCTAAGAAACCTCCTAATCTTGAGTGCTATGTGTGAGTTCTGTGTGGCCATTGCAATGAATTATGAAACCCACATGAGAAGGACAGAGTGCCATGGGAAGGATGGTTAGTGTCAGAATTGGTGAAAAGGTTGGCAACAGGAGGTATGTCTGTCCTCTACCACATAGGAATCAGCCCTGGGTTGTTGGCCTTTATTCTCCTTCCCCCTTGTGAAGTTAGAGGAAGTCAGACTCCATGCCTCTCCATACCATTTTTACAATTTCACATAGTGGAAGGTCATCCAGCAATGAAGAAGAATGAACAGCCAGAGCATCCTGCCTGTGTTTTGGGGCAACTCTCACAAACAATGCTGAGTGGAAGAAGCAAGATCCTTTATGATTCTCCCCAGAGGGAGTCCAAAACCAGGCAACACACAGCTATGTGGTTTGGGGGTGCACAAAGAGGTGGTAAAACTGAAGAAAAAGCAAAGAAATTATCATAAAATTATAAAATTATCATGGCTGAGCAGAGGAGAAACGAGGACTCAAACATAATTTTACACCAATGTTCACAGCAGCACGGTTCACGATAGCAAAACATAGAAACAACCCAGATGTCCATTAACAGACAAATGGAAAAACACACTGTGGCATATCCGCACAATGGAGTGTTATTCAGCCAGGGAAAAGAACGAGGTTCTGCTACCTGTTTTGACATAGAGGAATCTTGAAAATGGTATTTGAAGAGAACTAAGTCAGAAATAAAAATCCACATATGATACCATTTGTATGAAACCTCTAGACTAGGCAATGCACATTGTTGTTTCCATGTGCCCTTGAGTCCATTCCAACTCACTGCGGCACCAAGTGGCAAAGGAGAACTTCCGGGTTTTCTAGGCTGTAATCTTTATGGAGAAGGGACCAGTCCCTGGAGAAGGACATCATGCTTGGTAAAGTAGAGGGTCAGTGGAAAAGAGAAAGACCCTTAACAAGATGGATTGCCACAGAGGCTACAACAATGGGCTCAAACACAGCAATGATTGTGAGGAGGGTGAGGATGGCACAGGACCAGGCAATGTTTCATTCTGTTGTACATGGAGTTGCTATAGGTTGGAACCAACTGGACAGCACCAGACTGAAGTGAGTGACTCCACTTTGTAACTCTATTTTTGTAATGTCCAGCTATAACTGGCAATATCTTGCTAAAACTCCATTTTATGTAACTGAAGTGACCATCTCATCCTGTCCCCACTCCCCATGGGTTAAGGGGTACTCCCCTTCTGTATATTAAGCAACTAAAACACCCCTAGATGAATGCCTGTGCTAAAGCACGTACTCTGAGTCCTTGAAACTGCAGCATCTGCTTCTGTATTATCACTTACTTGCCTGCTTGTGTTTGGGCTTTATAAAGCCTACCTAAAATCAGACTTGTTGCTGCAGCATAGGAGCATGTTTCAGCTCCCTGCAGTCGGCGAGCCTAAACAAAACTCTTTCGCCCAAAAGTGGACATTATAGTGGCTATTATTTTAAACTGAACCCATAACAAGACAACAACAATCTTCATAGAAGCAGATCACCAGAACTTTCTCCTGTGGAGCAGCTGCCCACCTTTTAGTTAGCAGCCAAGTGTTTAACTGTTGAACCACTAAGGCCAATACGTAGAGATAGAACATAGATTAGAACCTGTGAGGAGCTGAGGGAAGTGGGGAGTGGAGAATAACTACTTAGTACAGAGTTTTTGTTTGGGGTGATGAAAAAGTTCTAGAACTGTCACAGACAAATGCTGTGAGAGGGTCTCACCCAGCGTGGCTCCCAAGTCAATAAGAAGAACACAAAGGTGAGGATAGCAAAGTGTGTTTATTGCAGGTGCATAAGTAAGGAACTCAGAAGACTACACTTCAGATTAAGTTCCTCAAACAACAGTGTACTTCCATTTTTATACACTTTGAAACAAAGAAGTCATGCATTTACATTTGTTGCAAATATTTGCATTCTAATAGCTAGTAGCATAGTGCCTAAGGCACTTGACTGCTAACCAGAAGGCTGGAGGTTCAAACCCATCAGCCACTCCTCGGAAGGAAGATGGGGCAATCTACTTGTATAGTGATACTGCCTCGGAAACCCAAGGAGGGGTCGCTATGAGTCGGGTCCAACTCCACGGCACATAACAACAACAACAATAGCTAATTAGCATTAGTGGGGGGTGAAACGTCATGGTCGCCAGGGGGTATGTTTTTCAGCCTGTGATATCAGAAGTTCACTTTCAGGTGAAGGTTTTCCACAGTGTGCCTGCATGGCTGAGCAGAGGCAGCTCTGTCTGCTTCTGGCTAGTTCTACCCACTGCCTATTGCCTATCTCAAGATACCTTCTGCTGGCTTCTAGTTTAGTTATTTTTTTTTTTTTCCATATTCCATAAGAGGGTCAGCTGTTACATATTGTTTTGAGGAATGTAGGAAAAGGCCTTAGGTTGGTCAGTATCTAGCATTAAGGGGAATGTACCAGCTGCCTCAGAACGAGATAGTGGTGATGGCTGCACATCTTATGAATATATTTAATGGGGTGGAATTGGACACCTAAAATATTTAAAGTGGCAAATTTTGTGTTATGAATATTTTACTAGAATAATAAATAAGTAGATAAAATTCCCAGACAGCAGTCAGAGTCCAGTCCAGGAAAGCAAAGGAAGGCTGAGCTGCCTGGGGGTATACTGAATTCCCTCCATTTGGAGGAAAAGGGCTCTGAGCAAAGGATATGGGTCCAAATATCAAACAAGTGGTTGCACTTGATTACCCTTTCAATTCAGAAATTCTGTAATTATAAAACAGACAAACCAACCAAAAAGAGCCCTGGTATTTAAAATAAAAATTAACACAACCCAAAGGCAACTGTTCCCCAACCCAGGGAAACTCTCCTTGAGAAGTCGGAGACTGTGCTTAAACTTTCAACTATGAAGTCAAGTCCCATAGCCAAGAGCATATGTGGTTTAACACCTTTACCCCCACCCAGGATTCTCATCCTGCATCCTTTAGTATGTAACTTGGGATCCTGTGGAGTTCAGGGACTAGCTTCTCCATAAGAGGCCTTCAAACTGGGACAAACCCAATTGTAAATGCAAAGAAGCATCTAAAAGTGGAGTTACAAAATAGCACTGGATCTCGCCCCATTTGAACGTTGGCAGATCTGCATAGTCTGAATTGATAAGAAATTCTTTGAGCATGACAGGCAAGAGCACTGACTGTGTGGCCTTGGGCACATTTGTCAACCTCTAAGCATCAGTTTCCTCATCTCTAAAATGATACTAATAATAACTACCTGAACTTCTTAGGGTTGTGGTGAGAATTAAATGAGATGATACCTATAAATAACTGAAGTAGTATGTCTAGCACTTAGTTAGCATCTAGTACTTGTTAGTTATTATTTTTACAAAATCTTGCTACATAAATACACTTTAAAATACATTAAGGTAACTGTTCAAGTAAACCAAGTAGTCAAACTTAATGTGTTTGTCTTTAGTGTACAGATGATACTCTCTAATACATGTCATGGGAACATTAACT